CCTGGTAAGCAGAACGACCTGTGGAATCCGAACAAAGGATGTGAATTAAATAAAGCCAATTAATGTACTTCCATGATAGCACTAGGTTTTCCAATGCAATCCAACTTTTCTTTTCTTTTCTTTTTTTTTTTTTTTGAGGGAAAATTTTGCTATATAGCCTGTGCGCTCACCAGAGAAACAGAGAGAGACAGAGACAGAAAGCGAGAAATCACCCCCTGTTGGGGATGACCATGTGGCAATCCCTTCTCCTCCAGTCTCCTCTTGGGATTTTGGGCACACACACACACATGCTCCTGGAGTGAGTTTTAAGCCATCGGGCTCAGGACTCGAACTAGTTTTAAGCCATCGGGTTCAGGACTCGAACTATAGTCGACAACGTGGGAGTCCAGCAACGTAACCATTATGCCATCTGCTGCTCCCCAGCATCAATTTTCTTCTTTGTCCTGACACATCTTGGGTGACCCCTGCAAATCTTCCTTTACTAAGATGCTTCTGTGTCTCTATCTGGCATGATAAGACATTTATTTTCAGATATAAAGCATCTTATACTCAATTTGTGAGTAATGATGAGTAAATATTCCTTCTTAGATCCACATGTGCTAGTATCAATTCAGCAAGTACTGTTGTGGCTTTATCTTCAAGTTACTTGTGGATGGGTAACGGCACCGAAAGGGTCATTTGGAGTCCTAAGTGTCCTCTAAACCATGGCATTATGCCACAGATGGCTTGTTATGCTTTAAATCCCAGATAATCGTGCAATTTCACTGTTCAAACATTATCCGTGGCTTTGTCTTAATTTTGATCAATACCCAGCTTTTCAAGACTTCCATAATCAGGAGCCTATATAACTAATACTCTTTCTCTGTTTCTCTTTGATTTGTGTCTTTCATTCTAGTGAGTCTTTTATGTTCATTATCTCTTTGGTCAAAGATCATATTCAACTCTCCACATCTGTCCTCTCTCCTATTGGATTTTGGTCTATTTGTCCCCTTCCTTGCAAATTTGAGGCCAATTCACTTAATTTTCAATGATTAAGTTGCCAGTAGGTGATACAAAATTGATCAAGTTAAGAGCCCCCTTCCTGAGAAGTCATATTTTTATCGGTGAAAACAGAAGAGACAGAAACCAAATGTAGGAGGTTTTAGGATGTTGTAGAAGAAAGAGTAAATAATTCAGCACTTAACCTTGAGGAATGAGGAAAAAGACAAGGAGAAAGGGAGGACAATTCTTGAGTCTTCCATAATTATTCCAGCTTGAATCATCTCCAATTTCTCTGGAAAGTTTTATTCATCATCATTAAACAAATATACTTGTGTGTTTGTGTGTGTGTGTGGCTATGTGTGTGTGGCGGGGGGCTGTGTATATGTACAATAGACACATTATCATCAAGGAGCTACAGTTATTTGAGGAAAGAGACAAACAAATAGAGATAAAATATACTGTATGTCAAACATAATAGTATATGAAGGGTTAAACTCAATAAAAGATCAACTACATTAACGTACCGGTCAGTGGATCAGGACCATGAACTGATTCCTTCAGTCCTACAGATCCATCCCATAACTGAGAATACAATTACCCACTATTTTATTTCTATTTAGAAATCATAGTCATATCTGGGGCCAGCAGTTGGTATAATGGCTATGTTGCTGGACTCCCATGTAGTCAACCATGGTTTGAGTTCCAGACCCGGTGACTTAAACTCATGCTGGGCACGTGTGCGTGCATGCCCAAGATCTCGAGAGGAGAACGGGGGAGAAAGGATTGTGGTATGGCCATCCCCCCATGGGGGATGATTTCTTGCTTTCTGTCTCTCTCTATCTTTCTGGCAAGCACACGTGCCCTATAACAAAAACCTCTCCTACCAAAAAAAAAAGTCACATCTCTATTGACTGTTTTACAAGTAGTAAATGTCACTCTTTTACGTCATTTATTTATGATATAAACCGTAGCTTTTGGTTTCACTGTTTCAGAGGAGTCCTAAATATTTAGTACCCATGTAATGCACGTTCATTCATTGATCAACTGGAAAAGGATCCCCACGATAGCCCAGAGATGCCTGTCTAACCTATAGCTCTCTTTAACCTCATGCTGCAAAAGTTTTTTGTTTTGTTTTGTTTTGTTTTTGTTTTTGCTATAGTACGGTCTCAGTTTCTAACTACTTAAATAACTAAGAGTATACAATGCAGAAAGTCTGTTTCATCTCCAAGTTTCTTCACAAGTTCTGGGGTAAGTATTTTCATAAGAGTGACTATTTTGGAGACCTGCTTATGAAACCCTAAAAGTGCCATATACATTAAAAAGACCCTACATTTAATATAAGATTAAAATGTCTAGAATTTTTATTCTGTAAAATAATATTTATCCACATATTTAGAAATCATAGTAACCCATTATCAAAATGATTTTTATGATATTTAAAGAAGCTTACAATCACTGTAAAAAGGCAAAACAAAAATGTTTATGCTGAAAAAGGTGAAACTTTTGCTTATTGCCTGAGACAGCTCTGAGGACTCTTACTGCTTGTGCAACACAGCTTGAATAACAATGATTCTACCTGGGCCTTTCGTAACATAGTTGTACATCTGTGTAAGGTACAAAAGAGGGTTAAAAAAACCCGATACCCATCATCTTATCTCAAAGTGTTTATGGGTTACTATTCCATTTGACCTAGTCATATACCAGAAGAATATTATTTGATAATAAAATAGACAAATCTGAAATAAAAAGCAGTGTTTTGTAATGGAGGAAAACATTTTAAGTTTTATTTTAGTCTCATCTACTACTCAAAAGATATTAATTCCTTAATAGGTGCCTATGAAAGAACATTTTTACTCTCATTTGGTCTGAGTTATCTTCCTTGCCACTGCCTTTGTGCATATCAATATCAGTCAGTATATGTGGTACTTGTCAAAGTGGGATCATCTAAAATGTTTGAAAATAAGTCAATCAACAGCTCTGGTTATCACTTAGAAAACTTGGGTTTAGGTCCAACTGTACCTATTCACCCTGTGAAACTTCAGCAGATCACTTAAGGATTTGAAAAATCAGTTTGTAATTTACAAAGAGTAAATGGAGCTATGTATCAAGACCTAGAATTGTGAAGATGGTAAAGTTAGAGGGCATAGAAGAGGATGCTGTAAATATTAAAAGATAAAAGATATACAAATATTGCTTGTACCCATGTCTAAGAACTTTAGGATGCTTATTTACGCTCTGCTGATATCTTCTAATCTGCTCATGTATGTACATTAATTATGAAACTGAAACATCGAAATACTAATGTTTCCTTAAGTAATGCAATTAATGAGCAAGAGGCAATTACCAACGTCTTTTGAAAATAGTCTTTTGAAAAGTCTTTTGAGTGTGTCTTTACACAGTCTTAAGCTTTATAATTTGCTCAAAATATTTTATAATTATTCATCATTTCTGAAACATCTTTGAGGGATAAATATTTGATTCAGGTGTTTGATCACATTGTGGGGGCCTGGGATTTCTTAAACTTAATTACTCAGTATTTAAGTCTAAAGATTTATTGTCAAATTAACACCATCTTGATTAGAGGACCACCAATATCATCGATTCTATATTCCAAATATCCCTACCCATCTAGCAGTGAATTCTAAGACAATGTTGCCATCAAGACTCAGACCAAAGAGTGTCTGTGTTTTTGTAGGAAGAGTCAGGGAGGTGAGACAGACAGAAAAGATAACCTATTAACTACATAATTATTCTCAGAACTACATAGTAGTTATTGCCAATATTTCTCTCTTCTATATTTAGAACATTTGTGTTTACTATGGAATAAAAAACTACCCATGTAAGTGGGAAGTGCCCATAAACAGATGAACAGATTGAAGCTTTCTCATAGTTACCCAGTCAAATAAGGGAAACAGCAAAATGACCTTGTGTCATACATTTCATAATCCTCAGAATAGTGATGATTTGCATGTGATTATAGATTTTAAGCATTTTAGTTAATTGATTATTTCATTTTAATTAGTTATCCACACCAAACAGCATTTAGATTTTGGTTTTACTTTGTTAAGAACTGAAGATGCTGAAAATCAGTTATCATATTATAAGACCCTTCATTCTGAAAGTACAGTCTCTCCTTTAGTTTCCTTCTCTTTTGTCTTCTTCACTTATATGAAAACGCATTTCCTATCATATATATTACAATCATAGGACACTATACAATATGGATTAAAACTGTGATTAAATACAGATTAAATACTGGGTCCACCAATTCATAAAACTGTTATCTTGGGTGAATACTCAGATTATTGATATCAGTTTTCTCATATAGTGTGCATTTATATGTATGTGTTATTTTATATATATATATATACACACACACATATATGTATATGTACATGTGTGTGTGTATATATAAATTATTATATGCATATATATCAGCCATTCAAAAATTGTTACTGCTTAGGCAGCAGGTGCTGGATACTCCCACATGGATGACCACAGTTCAAGTCCCAGATTGGTGGTTTGCTTTCTCATTTTCTCTCTCTCTCTCTCTCTCTCTCTCTCTCTTTCTCTCTCTCTCTCACTCTGGCCAAATTAAAATAAGTGAGTGAATAAATAAAATTAAATAATTTTAAAAAAATTGTTAATACTAATTAAATCAAAGTCTCATTCTAAAACTTTCACATATGCATGTGTGAATTTCGTCATTGTATTCTAAGCCAAAATCAGTATTTTTAAGCTTCACAGCTCTTCAGTGTCATGTCTACTCTTCATTTTCAGCTATTTATTATTAAAATATAAATACATCTAAATAAATAAATCTCAAACTACTGCTTCTAAAAATGTGCCTGAAGTTACTATTTGGTTAATAGCATATAGAATTAAATTGCAATTCCAAATACCACAGACCACCAGAAAAAAAAAATCAATATGTAAAACTTACCACATAACCTAAATAACAGATGTGTCCTGACAAAATGAAAACATGAAAGACTATGATTAAGTCATATTCTACTTACTTGTGTAGGTGAGTTGAAAACCCTGATCTGTGTCAGATCCATTGGTGTTGAATTCTAGCCACAGGTGATTGGAAGTGCTGTTTAGGATCAGCCCCAAGAGCTCATTTTTTGTGAAGGCTCCCAATGGACGTGATGAACTGTCTTTTCCATCATATACCTATTGAAAATACACAGCATCAGGTCTCCATCCCTTAATTCTATTCAAAGAACTAATTTTATGGATTACTTGAAAAAGTTATATAGTTCATAGAAAGCTGAATAGGTAATATAGTGCTAAATAACCCTTTTTCTTTTATCTACCCTTTAACACTAGAGACAGAATATTCTATTTACCATTTGGGATCAGATTATTTTACATTAATTAGTTTGAGAACGCTTTCTGTCTTTATTTAAAATTTAACAAATATTTCTTTGCATTTCCAGGTTCCATGATTTACCCTTAAATTCCCTTCCTCATAGTCCAATTTTAAGTGGAAAGTATTCATAATATTTCAGCCATGATGTCTTCTCTGAACTACTAACTATTAACAAATAATGGGACATCCCATTCCCTTTTGACCCTTCTATCTGAAGGCATGAAAAGACAATACAATATGCTAAAATCTTGTTTTCTTTTGTAGTCTCTGAACGTGAGATGACTTTAGTATTTAATTTGTTGTAATAAAAGAATCCCATCCCACCATAATAACAGGTAAATGTGTCATCTTGGTGCAAAACCCTTTGTATTAGATGTGTTCTTCCCAGGTGGTTGTAAAACTTGAGTGGATATAATCAGTATATGGAAGGCAAAAAAGATGGGACTTGGTTTGAGCCAGATATTACAGATAAGGAAGAGGGACATTTCAAAGAATTTCCAATTTTCAAGGTGCTATACCACATGGGGGTGGATGGGTACCAATCTCATATCATGAATGAGGTTGGGTCAAACTGTTTCAGAGGCTGTGTGCTGTGGGATACCACATAGTGCACTTTCTGCTAATGCCATGTAGCTCATCTAATATGAGCAGTAGTGACATTCTCCAGCATTCAGAGTTCAGGTACAGGCATCCCCTTACATTCCAATAAATGTAGCATGCTTACGGGTCATGGTTAATCCATTTGCCTCCCTCACTACAAGAAAATCACCTGGTGTGTAAGGACTTTTTTAAAATGAAAAGGAAATCTGATTACAGTATACTGAAGAATATCCAGTTTTTCTTGATTAAAAATGTACCTAAACTAAATAATTAGAGTCCTTGGTATCATCTTCTAAAATCTGTTTATTTAACCCACTCACTTTCCCACTCAGAGACTAATTTGTACTTTCATTCTGTTGTCTGTTTTTCTATTAAATATATAAAGCATATGCATTACTCAACAGACTTACAAATACATACACGCACTTATTTAAAAAAGAAAATACATTAAAATAATTGTGGGGTTAATTATTTTATCTCATTATAAGGACATAAGCTCATGCTAATATGGTAGTATAAAATATCCTCTAATTTTCTCACAAAAAGCTAGCCACAGGCTATTGTTTAAAAACATTGTTTAGTTTAAAACCTGGTTCTATTAGACATAATGAGGGTTCTGAAATATAGACTGTAGGGACTTTTAAGTCCAGAGAGACCTGGTTTAATGAGAAAATGTCTATGTATCCCCAGAAAGATCACAGGCCACTCCATATACCATGTAATTTTTTATAGTTCATAAAAATATATGTGGTTGAGAGTACATGAAACAACTAAACACATGTTTGAACCTGCTCCTCGGTACTAAAACGTGGTCAAATAGTCAGCTCCTTTAGAGCTTGGCTTCCTCACCGGGTTAGACAGAGCACTCCACCAAGCTCTAACAAATCACATGAGCAGCATCTCACCCTCAGTGGTCTCAGAGTTTTAACCACCAAAAAGGAGGAGCTCAAATGCTGACTCACCATTCTCCAAAATTCTGCCTTCTTTGCCCACATCGCTAGCAAGTGCGGCACCATGAGTGACAACAGGACTCCCAGAGTGAGCACCTAACTAACTAATATGGAACCCTATTTTGTTAGTTCTCGAACGTCAGAAATTGGCGTTCCACTTTTGCATTGATCACAGATGAAAACCCAGCTAAGAGTGGAAATAAGAAGACTTGATTTTGTATTCTAACTGAATTATCAACAGGCTATGTCAGTTCTACACAGTGTTTCCCAGTTATATCTCCTCATCTAAAGTAGCTGGACTTAAAGGGCTCCTTTTGGATATTACTAGAAGGTTTCTGGAGTTATCTGTTTAATAGAAGGGCTGTAAGTATTTGCACTACAAACCCTCCTCAGTACTTGGCACTTAATCAATGCCATATGCTCTCAGGGATGTAGCTGAGTTAGCAGACGATCATAGGTTAGAAAACACCACATAGAATCTTACAGTGACAATGCTGACAGTTCTGGGGAAATCATTTTAAAGGAGCTATATCCTGGGTTCTGTTTACAAAGTGAACTACTCTCCATTACATATTTCTTTCACAACCTTTTCTCAAGAGCTATATCCTATATTTCTCTTACGAGGCAAAAGAAAATCATGCTCATGAGTCCAGGAGTGTGTATATAAAATTTTAATCTTTATTACTGTCATGTTCTATGTAAAGGTGCAGCCTGACTACGATTTATGTTCAAAAACCAAGATAATTTCACTCAGATAATTTTAAACAGAGAGATATATATTAGCATATTCGAGAAAATAGATGCCTGCAAAACATTTAGGCATTTTCCGTGATTGACAGTTTCTCTGCAATTAAATATGATAAGCAAGATTTTTTTAAACATTTTCTGTTATAATCAACAAGTTTAAACGGCATGCAATCACAAATAAACATAGTTTTCTTCCTTCTATTCCAATAATATTTATCAGTGTATATTTTATACAGTATCGCTAATCACTCACCTGCACTGAAGTATAATTAATAAGCACTTACAAGTATGTCTTAAAGGTTTACTGACTCATAAATTTGAGGTTATCAAAGAACTCAGAAAATGCATACTTACAACATAACTTAGTTTTCAAAAATTTTAGATTAGTAAGAATGTCCTAATTTCCTGCCTAAAATTTCCTTATTAATTATATATATACTCAGTCCTCCTGCTGGCATGATCTTTTGAAAGACTATTAAAATAAAAGGACAGCTAGAATAAAACCACTCCCTACTAAATTATGATGGTATACCAAATGTACTCAGTCCTCCTGCTGGCATGATCTTTTGAAAGACTATTAAAATAAAAGGACAGCTAGAATAAAACCACTCCCATAAATTATGATGATATACCAAATATCAGCACTCTATGGAAGAAACTGAAAGACTGGAAGGTATCAAAGCATTCAGAGCAAGAGACAGTGGGGAATGGGGGACTGTGAGAGGGAGAGAATCAAGGGGGAAAAGAGAGAAGTAAAACATTGAAGTGAACAAAGGTGGAAAGAAACCTATTGATTTTAACGTGTATGGTGGTGGCTTTGACTGAACCAATATACAGTGTATTCGTGATGGGAAAATTCATTTGGCATGCTGTAATGATACACAGTGACTGAATGTAAAAATAATTAAATAAATATTCTTTTCAAAGAGAAAAATAGTCAAATAGGAACTTAGGAGAAAATAAGACACTTTGCTCTATAAGCGTCTCAACCTCTGCAGATAACTTCTAATGGGGTCAAGTGGAGCCCTCTGTGGATCCGTTTTAGCCATTGTGTAAACAAATGACAAACAGGGAGTTATCAACTTTTCCCTTTTTGTTGCCTTTTTGCATATTTTCTTAACACTTGCAGCTGAAACTGAGTTGAAGCTACTGAATCTGAGATGAATCATTACATCTAACCAAGTAGATGTAAGTGTAACTGAAAAACCATACGAATGAGAAAATGAAGCAGAAGAGCAATATGGCCGTCTCTTGCAACAAATCAAATGTATGACCGACCAAATTGCTTACTTTCTCTCTGGGTGAGTGGCTAGGGTCTAGAGGACTGAAAGAATTAGCCTTTGTTGTTCAAATCCTTTCTTCTCTAAGGCCTCATTGAAGCTAGGTGTGCCAGTACCCATTTCCTTGTCACTAGGCTCAGGAAGGCCCCAACTTCCCTGAAATAGTTACAGGAGATGCAGGAATTATATGGGAAGCCTTAGGAATTAAGGGGCATTGCCAGTTAGAGCTGGGTTTTACACATCAACAGAACACCTGGGTGGCCCTGTAATCCTGGTGAGATTCGGTTTATCCTGGCCTCACTTTTCCACATGAGCCCTGTTTGGTGTTCTAATGAGAATGGTTGGACTTGCTTCCATGTTCACATTAAAATCCTTCCAGCTTTCAATGAGTCTTTACAAACTGAGATTAGCTATAGCAAAGTTGGAGTTTGGAGGCCCTGCAAGTTTTTTGTTTGTTTGGTTTTTGGTTCCCCCTTTTTTAAACATTAATAAATATATTTATTATTTTTAAAAGTTTACATTTAACCACCGTACATCTTTACAGCATACAAAGTGTTTTCCCTCAGCATGAATACAGTGCATATTAGTCAAGTCAAAGATATTATGAGATGCATTATCATCAGCTGATACATTTTCATTTTTGTGTCTATTAAATGCTTCTCTTTTTAAAATGTTTTCCTGATCCTTTCCCTCCCATTGCCTGTTACCCATCCACTCATCTACTGTCTTTAGCGTCTACCATTGCCCTCTCTATATTGTTGGTGGGAAAGTAAATTAGTGCAGCCACTGTGGAGAACAATATGGATATTTCTAAGAAACCTACAAACAGAATTGCAATAAGATCCTGTAATGCCACTTCTGGGTAACTACTGAAAGGATAGGAAAACGCCCAGTCTGAAAAACACTTGCACTTCCACGCTCATTGCAGCATTACTCACAATTGCTAAGACAGAGAATCAACCTAAATGGCACTACAAATTTTAGGAATTATTATTATGTGCAAGATAAAATTCCAAAAACAGTCACAGGTAATAATTAATCCTCAGAACAGCCCGAAAAGGAAAGTATCATTGAATCTTCTTATCTGTACAAAAACTAAATATTAATATTGTGAATAATTTGCCCAAGATACACCATTAATACATGTTATGTCAAGGACTATAAAAACAGCTATGTCAAAGGCTATATACACTCTTCTAAGTGACACAACTGAACATCTTCTCAAACCAGTTGCATAAATAGACACAAATACATATAAAGGTGTATGAATATACAGATAGATAAATAGTTAGATGCCTTAGAGGAAAAGACAGTGCCATAATGTTAACGAAGATTCTTCTTACCTTTAGAATGTCTCCTTCAAATAGCTGAAAACTTCGTGCTCTGAGATGGATCCCCTTGCCAGCTTCTGTTTCTATTTTATAGATACACTCATGGTTATTATCATAATTTGATGGGAAATTTGGAGACAGTAATGTTCCTTCATTTCCTTTGACACTTGCTCCACATTCAGCTAAAATAAATAGGACATTAAAAAAAAGAAAGATTCACAAGTGGAATTTCTGATTTTAATCCATTTAAAACTTCAAAATTATGAAAGTCCTCTCTTCTATCAATGTATGTCTTAATTAATACATCTTTTTAAAATAGATTTCTGACTTTTTTCTTTTTTTGGACTATTTTGCCAACTGAACTGAAAACATTCCCTGTGTAGTCCATTTGTAAGATTTTCTTTCCTTCTTACTCTATGGATGCACCATGCTATCCATACAGAGAGTTTCTGGAATAAAACGGATGTGCTCTAGCACCTAGGTTCACTTAGCTGTATCACTGGATGGTATCGTCACCTCTTCACACCTCATTTCTGCCTCATGAAATGCCCCAGTCAGTTCCTCCGTTTTGGATCTATCATTCTACTTTTGTAATGATAGAATTCTTGCATTGTTACTTTGTGGCATCAAGCAGGATGCACTGACAGGGGAATCGGACGATAGATAAAACTACTGTATTATCTTCTAATAGGTCACAGCACTAAATCATTTGCATTAAATTTTGAGATGAGAGAGCATTCAATGACAGTAAATCTCCCATTTCTGATGAAAGAAGAGGACAATTGACTTCTGGATCCAGTTTTGCATATAAATACCTCTAATCAAGGTAACTGTGGAAATAAATATAGCTCTCTATGTTTTGTCAACCTGGAGAAAGTCACTTAACCTCTCGGTTCCTGTTTTCTCATCTATGAAAGTAAACCATTCAGGTTAAGAACTTCAGCTCTGAATTTCTGTGAATCCCAAAGAATTATGAAAAATAAATCTTTCTCTGTATGTGTGTGTGTGTGTTTGTGTGTGTGTTTACATTTACACTGATGTGTGTATGAGAGAAAGAGAGAGAAACAGGAGAACTCACAAGATTCCGCATCCCCTAGCTTATTGGTCACACTATATGCCAAGTACAATGACTTTAAAAAAAAAATGAACAAAATGAGTATTAGTTTGAAGAATGGTCATGTTGCAAATTGAATATTGGTAAAATGCCTTATAAATAACCAGACAAGGAGAGCATGCACTGTGTTTAATTTCGAGTGGGTTGTTTAGGATAGTTAAAACTTTTGTAAATATTTTCTGCATGCCCATTGCCATAATGCTGGTTTTCTCTGACAGTCTCCTTTGTTCATTGCCAGTTAATGAAAACAGCTATGTACCTGGCCATGATTCCTAGACATACTTGCCAGAAGAAAATTTCTACAGATTCATGATCAGCTCATAATTTGTGCCATTGAATCTCATAATGTCCTTAAAGGGTATGAAGAGAAAATCAGGGAGAAAAATACCCAAGATTTTGAGTCCCCTCTCCCTTATCACTCCTTAAATAAAGATGTAAAGTCAGGGATGGGATGGGGACAGGGGAGAAAGTGTTGGAAGAAAATCACAAGGAATTGGAGACCCAACACAATGACACTGGGATAGTATAATAATACTTTTTAAGTATGGCAGTATCTATCATTATTGTATTTATACATATTTGTATTATCATCATTTAAAAATTATCATTATTGTTATTATTTAGTTTGTCATAGGGCATGTGTGCTCGCTGGAGAGAAACAGAAAGAGAGTGAGGGAAAGTAAGAAAGCACTCCACCCAGGAGGTCTGGCCACACCGCAGCCCTTCTCCTCCCACCCGTCTCTTGGGAATTGGGGCACACATGTGCATGTGCCCAGGATGTTTTTCAAGTTGCTGGGTCCAGGATTCCAACTGTGCAGTCAGTCATGTAAGATCCAGCGTCTTAAACTCCATACAACCTACTGGCTCCTAAAAGTTATTTTAAAAACAGAAAACAATTTTCATGGGAAGAAAGACAAGTGATGCCTTTATGCTTAATATTGAGGTGTCCACATTCAGGACCATGTTCTGGTGGTTTTCAAGTTGCATGGTACTCCTTCAACTATTAGCAATCTGATGATTCTCAGACTGACTGAGATTGAACATAAATGACTTAAGTTCAACAAACAATTTAGCTAAATACAAGTTCCCTGAGAAAAGGTAATAATTCACGGATATTAAATATCCTTGTTGAGTATGTTTTTGCCTTTTTTTCTTCCTGAAGAAACAGTGTGTTTTTACAATAAAAACAATGTAAATGAAAATAAAAGCAAAAGCGTAAAACAGTGTATTCCCCTTTGTCTGCTCTATGGAGTGAATAGTGAGGATTCAAAAAATCAAATATTGTACTTCAAGTGAATAAAAGAAGAAAATAATCAAATTTTAACAACCAGTAAATGAAACCTAGTCATATATATTAGTAATCATTTAACATAGAATTTCACAATGACTAATAAAGGAACCAATTCAAAATTTAAGGTCCATTAATCTATTACTTTTATGTTTGAAAAAAATTCATGCAATAAAGGTAAAATTAATACTGACATAGTGGTAAATAAATTATTTTCAATCTGAGGGAAAAAGAAAGTGAGAACCCACCCCCCACCACCACCACCAGAGTGTTGAGTGGACACATAGCAATCCCTTCTCTATTCTCCTCTCAGGATTTTGGGCATGGATACACATTTGCCCAGCATGAGTTTAGACCACCAGGTCCAGGATTCAAACTGAGTTCAACTTCATGAGAGTCCAGAAACATAATCATTGCACCCTCTGCTGGTCCCATGTCTGATAAAAACTTTCAAAGGAATCTTTTTTATGGCTACAACCACAGAAGTTGTATGTTGTTACACCATACATTTGAATTTATCAAGTATACTATGTAGGGTGTATATTAGATGTCTATTGTGAAGGACAAGCTGTCTGAGGTCAAGCATCCTTAGAGGTGGGCAGGAAGTGAATGTGACAATGAGGGTCTTGTTCTCTGGTCACCATCTAGTCATCAGGTGACGTGTTTTGTCTTCTTTATTTACTGAATGAAGTCAAGAGGATGAACAGAGAGATGAAATAAGAAATAATTAAACAACTACGATGGTAAGTCTGTATATTTAAACAGTTTTTTTTTTTTTTTAAGATTTTTGCCTCAGGCATTTGCACTCACAGCGAAAGACAGAGAGTAGAAGAAAGAGAGAAATCACCCCATGGAGGTGATGACCAAATCTTAATCTCTTTTCCTCCATTCACCTTTTGGGATTTGGGATGTGTGTAACACCACTTGTCACGTTTTCCAGCCACTGGATCTGGGACTAGATTGGAGAATCAGTCATATGGGATCCAGATCCTTAACCATCAAGTTACCTGCTAACCCAAGTCTATACATCTGATGAGAGCTTTATCTCCATGGTAAGTATGAAAACTGTCTATGAGAAGCCCTGGTGTGTCTTCAGGGAGGAATTCCAAGAGGAAAGCCAGCCAAAGAGAATCAACTCCAACCAGTGTGATCCATGAGCCTACCAAGATCTCAACAGAAGTGCTTTCTCTTTCTCAAAGCAGGGGAGCTTAGACAGCTCTATACACCATTTGGAAGGTCCTGCATGTTGCAATAGGCAGCTGCTGCGTTCGTCTAGTTATAGTTGGATTACTTGTCGTTGGTCTTCACCACACCATATACATTTTTTGTTTCCTCCTCCGTGACAAAATTGCCATATAGAGGTTTTTTCCCCTAGCTCAATTTGGAGTATCATGTTGTTTTTGTAGTTGTTTTTCTTTCTGTTTTTATTTTTTTCTTCATTCATGCATATGAAAGTAAGAGAGAGAGAGAAGAGATAGGCATCCTCCACAAGGTCTGGTCATGCCCAGTCTCCTTCCTTCTGTCTTCCAGACCTTTGAACCTTTAGTGCTCATATGAATTCTCAGTCTTTTTCAGGCTGACCAGGCTGAGGACTTAAGCTGTAGCCACTGGATCTGGTTTCTCCTGACTAATGCATTACAGACCGCACCAAAAATCCAGCTTTGAAACCATACTGCTTCTGTTGTTATAGTCATAAAATTATACAAAATTATAAGAAATATTTTGAACATTATCTTTAAAATTCAATATTTTGAAAATTTGAAAGTTGTTTATAAACTGTCAAGAACTATGGAGTATGACCTAAAAATTTTTGATATGTAAAGTAAACGATTGTGGAAAAATATAAAAATAAATAAATGAAAGAAAAAAAAATGCAGACCAGGGGTACCACATTTTAAGGGTCGACTTAATTCATCATGATAAGGCTGCTATGTAAGCTACGATACTATTTTACATCACACATTTTTCTAAGTCTTTGCATATGTTGATTCATTAATCCTCATAGTAGTATTGTGTGAAAAGTGAATAAAACATATCTACAGATGAGAAAACTGAGTCATAGAGAAGTTTAAGAAACAAAGCCTTTCCCAAAGTCACACAACTAGAATAAATTAATTATTGATTTGCTATATACTATAAAGGCTCACAAAGAGAACAGTAACTCTTTTTATAGCTTACATAATGCTAGATACGCTATAATGAATAATTCAGAATATTGTTCATAATTAACAGTAATGAAACTGAAATAATGAGTTTTAGAAAAAAAGTGTGTTTTTAAGAGCTTTTTTTCAAAATAGGTCACCAGTTAATTGCAGATTATATTTCTTATTACATTAGCATTTAGGACATTAAACATATAATAATGTTTCACAACACCAAAAAAGTAGAGGTAGAAAGAATTTAGCATGTTCATTAAAGAGGGAAAATATCAAAGCAAAGGAAGTAACTTTATATATCTTTTTATTAATGTTTGGATACTGGGATTATTTTTTGAGTAGATATAAAATAAATGGTGATAATTAAGTGAAAGTCCACTCTGTAAAAATAATAACTGTGCAAAAATTAACTGTCCAGCTGTAACTGATAACCCTGTGTAGACAGATAGTGTTGCTTGAATTTGTAGAAAGATAAGGTAGAAGCAATTAACCAGCCTTCTAACTCAACATCTCACTTTGTAATAGCACTCTAAAATGAAATCTCCTACTGTAGCAGAGCAAATATTTCACATAACCTGAGATAGAATTAATATTTTTAAGTAAATAGTCCATGTTAACTCATTT